AATTCCTTCCACTTTTTTTTTGTTTGCCACACATACTTTTTCTTTTCCACTTCAGCTGCTAATATGCCTTGCATATCCAGGTCATCTTTCATGAAGACAATTTTCTTGTTTTCCTTGCTATTGTTTGCTGTTCATTTACTCTATCCTTGGTACACTGGAAGAAGGGTGTCGTTTATCACTCTGAGTACATGATCTCTTCATTTTTTTCAAAGGCATTATTGCTTTAGCATGCCATTTGCCCCTTGAAATGCTTTTAGTTTGAAACAGGCATGCTGTATATTTAGCTTTATCAAGTAAATTTAGATAGATAATACACCATATACACATTATATATTATTACATATGACCAGGGCTTTTTATGTCATAGAATACCCAGAACGGAGTTCCGGCACCTTTTTTGGATGGAACCTTGTAGGGTAGGCAGGGCAGGTTGTATGACATGAATGAGTTCCAGCACCTTTTTTTAACAAAAAAAAGCACTGCATATGACATAATAAGTTTAAGATATCAGTTACTTTTCTAATGTGAGGATCTAATTGTACAACTCAAGATTACTGAGAGTTACAGTGCCTCCTTCCTTGATTGGAGAGAAAGGCTCGTGTCTTAGGAGACCAGACACCTCAAGAACAACTGAATGGCCTGGATAACCTTATGGTGTATACTCTCCAATGAACTATAAATAATGCATACTAAATCATATTTTGAGGGGGGCTTCATACTCTGGATTTAGGGAATCCTCAGGAAATTGTTATCTCACCTTCCTTACCAAAGAACCTTACCAGCTTTAAGGTTTCTCAACCTTAGCAACTTTAAGATATGAAAACTTCAATTCCCAGAATCCTCCAGCCCGCCAGCTTTCTTGGACTGAAAATTGAGGTAAAGGGGGAGGAGATGCACTTGTAGACCTGAAAGATTCTGTTACCATAATCTTGCAATAAAGATAGTCTTAATAATCATGATTGATGCTTCTTGTCTGGACCACCTCTGAGGTCTAACTTCTGGGAGCTGAGGTCTACATATTTTACAGTTGCCAAGGTTGAGAAACCTTGTCATTGATCTATGTCGTTGCGGGTTGCATTATTGCATACATTATGTATAGTATATATATAACTATACTGCATGTGTATAAACATACAGTGACTTTACATCAGGTCTCTTTGCCACCTCCCTCCCATCAAAGCATTGGGTCCAGTGAATGAAACAATAATTTGGATCCTCTCCAGTTATTTAAGATACGTTTTTGGGGTGTCTTTTCCACCTCCTTTCCCATTTCTGCACAGATTCACCACTGGTTTCCATGTGTTCTCTCTATCCCTCAGCTTCATCACTATATTGTGGTAACTTTATTCCCTTATCCCAACTCACTGCCATCACCTCTCCACAAGCCTCTTCTTACCACTTTTTCTTTCACCCATATCCTATTCATTTTTTTCTTCACTTGTCATTTGCCTTGCTTCTTTGCACTGTCTCTCTTTATCAGCCAAACCATC